CAGCTCCTGGGATTTGGGATTCAGGGGATCCCCACCCTCCTGAAGTTTGGGATTCAGGGGATCCCCACCCTCCTGAACTTTGGGATTCAGGGGATCCCCACCCTCCTGAACTTTGGGATCCTCTCCCTCACCAGGACCCCTCCTCCTCCTCACCTGCCCATCCCCTCCTCCTCCTTCCCCTTCCTCCTCCTCCTCCTCTCCCTCACGCCCCTTTTCCCGCCCTTTTCCCCGCCCTCCTTCCCGCCCTTTTCTTCCCGCCCTTTTTCCCCTCAGGGCCGTGGCCGCGCCCAGGATGAGCAGGGGCACAAGATGGAGGCAGAAATGCACCGAGGCCCAAAATCGCAGCGTGGCCTCGGCCTCCCGCAGCACGAAACCCATGCTCAGGTACTCGAACGCCCTCATCTTGAGGAACCACTGCCCTCCCCTGAGCAGGGAACCCTTCCAGCCCCTCAGCTCCTCCAGGGGAACCCCGAAATGTTCCTCCAGGGCCGCCTCGGCCGCCGCCTCTGCCGCCAGCCACAGCGGCACGGTGAGGAAGGACAGGTACTGCCCGCCGTGCAGCCCGTGCCAGTAAGCTGAGGCCAGCATGGTCCACGCGTTCCTGGGGGGGTTTATGAGGGGAAAAAACAAAGAAATGCGGTCAGCGGAAAGGTGGTGGTTATTAAAAATGGGTTAAATTTGGGTTGTGAGGCTTGGAGGGGGTTAAAGTGTTATTTGTGGGACTCTGGGTTTAGTTTGTGTGGTTCGAATTCAGCCCCGGTTGGGGTAAAATTGGGTTTGTGTTGCCTCCAAATCCAGGCTGCTCCACGGAAAGGTCAATTTGCACCCCCAAAATTCGGGTTATTCCCCCCAAATTCCCTAAAGCGCAGCTCCCAATGCCTCAGTTTCCCTCTTTATCCCTCTCCCAGTGCTCCCAGTGCTCCCAGTCACTCTCCCAGTGCTCCCACTCCTTCCCAGTCCCTCTCCCAGTGTGTCCCAGTGCCCCCAATCCCTCTCCCAGTGCCCCCAATCCCTCTCCCAGTGCCCCCAATCCCTCTCCCAGTGTCCCCAG